CCGCTTGTTCAGGGAAAGTGCCTGGTGGGCCGGACCGGTTTGTTTACCTGCCGCGTCCGCAGGTTCAGCCAATCATGGCTCCCACTGGCAAACATAGTACCTATCTTTAAACAAAAACAATGAGGAGTCGAAAGCTTATGCCCAAATAAATTTGTTAGTCTCAAAGGTGCCACAAGGACTCCTCATTGTTTTTGCTGATACAGACTAACACAGCTACCACTCTGAAACCTATCTTTAAACAGAGGAACAAAAAGGACCTGGGGATTTATAAACCACTCAGCCTACATTTGATACCTGAGAAGATATTGAAACAAATTCTTAAACTATCAGTTGCTAAGCACCTACAGGAAAATAGGGGTAGAAGTTATAGTCAGCATGGATTTTTCAAGAACAAATACTGCCAAACCAACCTAACTTCCTTCTTTGACAGTCTTACTGACCTAGTGGATGCGGGGAAGGAGTAAAAATGATAGATTTTCATTTCACTAAGATGGTTCAATGGTAGAATTTGCACCTGCCATGCAGGAAACCTGGGTTTCATTCTTGGCCTGTGAAAATTGGAGCTTTATTACCTAAACAAATTCTGATATTAAAGTGTGTCAGAGAGGAGGGTTTCTGTTTGTGTGTACTACACTTAGGAAGACAAACTCAAATGCACAAGTACACAATGGGAAGTAACTGCCCATAGTTCTGCTGAAAAGGCTCTGCGGTTGCAGAAGATCACAAATTGAATCTGAGTCAAATATATGATCCAGTTGCAAAGAAAGCTAATATCATCCTGCAGTGTATAATGGGTGTTGTATGTAAGGCATAAGAGAGAACTGTCCCATTTGATTTAGCACTGGTGAGGCCTCAGCTGGAGCACTGTGTCCAGTTCGGGGTGCCAAACTTCAAAAATATGTGGTCAAATTGGAGAGAGTCCGGAGGAGAGCAACAAAAGTGATAAAAGGCTCAAAAAACCTAAGCTATGAGGAAAAGTTAAAAAACTGGACATGTTCAGTCTTGAGAAAAACCCCCAGGGCCTCTGCCAATCTGCCCTGGAGGAAAATTCCTTCCCGACCCCAAATATGGCGATCAGCCATATCCTGAGCATGTGGGCAAGACTCCCTAGCCAGACACCCAGGAAAGAATTCTCTGTAGTAACTCAGATCCCACCCCACCTAACATCCCATCACAGGCCATTGGGCATATTTACCACTAATAGTCAAAGATCAATTAATTACCAAAATTAGGTTATCCCATCATACCATCCCCTCCATAAACTTATCAAGCTTAGTCTTGAAGCCAGATATGTCTTTTTGCCCCCACTGCTCCCCTTGGAACGCTGTTCCAGAACTTCACTCCTCTGATAGTTAGAAACCTTTATCTAATTTCAAGTTTAAACTTCCTGGTGGCCAGTTTATATCCATTTGTTCTTGTGTCCACTTTGGTACTGAGCTTAAACAATTCCTCTTCCTCCCTGGTATTTATCCCTCTGATATATTTATAGAGAGCAATCATATCTCCTCTCAGCCTTCTTTTGGTTAGGCTAAATAAGCTAAGCTCCTTGAGTCTCCTTTCATAAGACAGGTTTCAGAGTAGCAGCCATGTTAGTCTGTATCCGCAAAAAGAAAAGGAGGACTTGTGGCACCTTAGAGACTAACCAATTTATTTGAGCATAAGCTTTCGTGAGTTACAGCTCACTTGCTGCCTCCCCCTTCAGCACCCCCATCCAGGACTTAAATAGGTCCTTGGGCTTGCTGTGAAAAGTGATATTTGTTAATATTACAGCACCCTTTAGTTACCTGGGAGGCTATGAAAAGGGATAAGTGATATTAACAAACACACAAGTATCACTTTTCACAGATAGCTAGTAAGTCTGCAGTTAAAAGTGATATTTGCATGTTTGTTAATATCACTTTTCTCAGGCAGCCCCAGAACCCATTAAGCCCTGGATGGGGGGGGGGGTGAGGGGGGGCACGAAGGAGAGACAGCAGGGGCCAGAGGTGATGGTGGGATGGATGTGAGGCCAGGAAAGCAGCAGAGTCCGGGGCGGGGTGGGGGGCACGCAGTAGATACAGGGCCCTGGGAGGCAATGGCAGCCAGAGGTGATGTGGGTGGGTGATGAGCCCCACTATTGCATGGCCAGAGCCAGGGCCTGGTGTCTGCTGCCATGTGGCCAGGACCAGGGGTCGGTGTCAGCAGCCAGAGCCTGGACCCGGGGACAGAAACAGCATGGCTGGAGCCAGCAATCGCAGCCTGCAGCCGGAGTTGTGGGTCAGAGCCTGGGCCAATGCCTGCAACCGCACGGCCAGAGCCAGGAGCTGGGTACCAGAGCCCAGGGGTGCGAGGCTGGAGCCTCGCTGCTGTGCAGCCAGGGCCAGGGGTCAGCACCCAAGGCCAGCTCCCGCAACCGCATGGCTGGAGCCCGGGAACTGAGCTGTGGGTTGGTGCTTGCTGCCCTGCAGCTGGAGCAAGAGATCAGCGCCAGGGGGTGGGGCCACGTGGCCAGAGACCGGGGCCAGCACCCGCCACCGCACGGCCGAAACTGGGTGCCAGAGGCCAACTGAAGCTCCATGGCCAGAGCCAGGGGTTGGCACCCAAAGCCCTGTGGTTGGAGCCCATGGCCATGCAGCTGTGGCCAGGGGCCATCGGCGCCTGTGGCCAGCATTTGCCACTGCGCAGCCAGAGCCTGGGACTGGACGTGGAAGCCAGCGCCTGCTGCCGCACAGCCGGAACCAGGGGTCAGAGGCTGAAGCCCCACAGCGGCATGGCCAGAGCCGCGTGGCCAGAGCCAGGGGGCGGTCAGTACCCGCTGCCCTGCAGTCAGAGCTTGGGGCCACCCGGCCAGGTTCCTGAGGTTGTCATGGCTGCAGGAAAAGCCCCAGGTGTCTGCATTTGAGAAACGTCCTAGACTAGGGAGCTAGGGAGAGCTGGCTGGAGCCTCTCTATCGTTCGTTCATGAGTGGCTGAGGAGAAGCCTTCATGTAACTGCAACCGGGTGTGTCCCTGCCTGTGTAAAGGTCTGCATGAGTGCAGGACCAGAGAAGTCTGCAGTTTGTCACAGCCTCACAGTGTGAGAAGGGGCCCGGATGGGTATGTCAGAGGGCTCAGCAGTATCCCAGTTCCAAGTTACACCCTGGGGAAGTCCGTCACAGAGACCATTTGTCATGGGATTTGGGATACTTCTGTTCATAGTCATAGAGTTTAAAGCCAGAAGGTGCCCCCAGATCATCTGGTCTGACTTCCTCTGTCTCACAGGCACCTGCACGCTAAACCCAACCATGGAGCATGCGAACAAGTACCTGAGGGGGAGAGTACTCACTGACCCACTCCATCCCCTGTCCCATCTCCAGCCATGGGGATGCTTCAGGGGAAAAAGAGAAAAAAATCCAGAACATAGGGATGGTGTCCCTAGCCTCTGTTTGCCAGAAGCTGGGAATAGGCAACAGGGGGTGGATCACTTCGTGATTACCTGTTCTGTTCATTCCCTCTGGAGCACCAGGCATTGGCCACTGTCAGAGGACAGGATACCGGGCTAGACAGACCTTTGGTCTGACCCAGTGTGGCCGTTCTTATTGGGGAGGGAGGGAAATCCTTTCTTGACCCAACACATGGCTGGCTGCGGTAGCTGGTAAGAGCCCCCTGAGTGGGGAGACCCAGCTCTGGCTGGCAGACCCCTCCAGGAACAGGGACTGTAGGTGAGTCCTCCCAGCACACAGCCCCTAATGCCACTCTCCCTGCATCCTGACCTACCCCCTCCCCCTGCCCCCTGAACTACCCCCCTGCCCACACACAGCCCCAGCTACCCAGCTCCTTGCACCCTGAGCTACCCCGCTGCCTGCACACAGCCCCTAGCAACCCCGCTCCCTGCACCCTAAACTGTTTTCAAAGCTCCCCACCTTTGAGTTATCATTTTTAGTTGCATTCCCCCCCCCCAACCCAGACAGGCTGCGTAGCCTGCTGAGGTGAGTCAAGGGGTGGAGGTGGCGCTCCCTCCCTGGACCCCGCCATGCGGAGGTGGCTCAAGCCGTGCTGGCCCCTGCCCCACCCCAAAGAGAAGTCAAACTATGCCTATGACCAAGACCCCGCCCCAAGTTTTTAAAGGATGTCGAGGGGGGGGCCTCAGAGGGTGGAATATGGATCGGGAAGGCTGCCGGGGAGGGGGCAGCAGCAGGAAATGGGCAGGTGACTGGCAGCTGGTGGCTTGTGGGTCTTGCACTGGGCAGATTGGAAGACAAGAGCTGGGACTGGTCACTCCGCTGGTGACACTTGCTCCTGCCTTTCACTGCTCTGCCCCTGCCAGGCCCTGTTGCTGGCAGAGAGCGGCCGCCCCGTCCCCACCCCAGAGACGGCCGTGTCTCAGCTCTCCCACGACGCACCCACTGACCGGATCCCCATCTGGGGAATGACTCAGGGCAACAATTGGCCACCTACACAAGGACAAACTGCTGCCGATAAAATGGGTGGGAAAACACCCCAAAACTGAGGAGATTTTAAATTGATATTTAAGAATGGAACAGAAGACAGGATAAAATCTCAGGAGGAGAGAAAGGTGGGCAAAACAACATGAATTTTAGACCCCATTTGGTCATTTTTTAATCAATATTTGAGAGCAAAGCAGCAAAATCAGACAGGAGGTCCTTACTCCCCTCCCCCCTGCAATCTCCTACCTGCCCAGAGACAGTTCAATTGCCCCCAGTTCACACGGTCTGTCCCCTCCCTCCATCTCTGGCTCATTTTTCATCCCTCCCTTCCCGGCCCCTGCACCCCCAGACACACGAAGGGGAACCCCACTGGGGCCCAGTCTCTTGCCCCATCTGACCCCCCCCCCTCGTGCCTCTGGGGCAGCCCCTGGCTGGAGCCGGGGGCGGATGGGGGGCAGCAGGGTCACTGGTGTGAACGCAGCTCGGGGCCCGCCCCAGGTGCGGGAACAACCCGGGGGCCGGTTCCCAGGGGCGGGGGGACCGGGGCCCCCTTGTGCAGAGGCGTCTCCCCCCCCCCGGCCCTTGGTTAATTACCTGCAGGCTCCGGCCCGGGGCTGCCCAGGGGGCTGGTCCCAGCTGGGGAACGTCCCCCCCGGCCGGGCAGGGAGAGGTTAATGACCCCCCCCCCCCAGCACAGACCCCATGGGGGGAGCAGCGCCTTGCATTGCCCAGCCCGGAGCTGCCGCAGGATTTTCCTGCCTCCGCCCCCAGCTGCTCCAGCCCCTTCCCGGGTCTCCTGCAAACACCCGCGCGGGCTGCAGTGCGAGCCCCGGCCCGCACTGAGCATGCGCAGTGTCAGCTGCTGAAGGCACTGCCCTTGACCCTGCCCTTCCTCGGCATCAGAGTCTGGAGTCAGTTTTTTACAGGGGTTAAAAAGGGGCCAAGGGGGCAAATCGGAGCAGGGGGCGGAAATTGACTGGTCGGGGGGGTCAAGTAGCTGGAGGCAGGGTTAGGAGAGGGACTCAATCAGGGATGGGGGGGAGGAGCAGGGGTTAAGCCCAGGGGTGAGGTGCTGCCAGAGGGTAAAACCCTGGCCCAGGCAGGGGCAGAGGGGATAACGGTTACCCCAGGGGCCTGAGACACTTGTGTTTGCAAAAATAGGGCAAGGGGATTTTTTTATTTCCCCTCCCCCAGACAGCACCTTTCAGCATGGGCCTCCCAGGGCTGGGTTCTTAAAGGCCCAGACATCCCAATTTGCAGGTACTCTGTCTGATGTGACCTATGGAGGGGCTGCAGGAGACTTAATTCAGCGAAACAGAGACTTCCCTACACCTCTCCACCCCTGAATTTCTCCAACACCCCCCCCCCAAGTGGTCAACTAGTTACATGCAGTGTTGCCAATTTAGTGATTGGTTGGAAATTTGAATTGAAATTGAAACATTAATACACACTTTAAAAACATATACAGTGTATGATAAAATACTTGTACCTGAAAACATATAACATGTTTGAAAAGTATGAACGAAGACTAGCTTCCTCACACAGCTGTTGTTTTTTCTGACAATGTTGGTGCATTGGTTTTCGCAATGTTGACCAACCTTACAATTTAAAATTATGATTTGTAAGCTAGGTCTGAATGAACTCTCCCCTGAGAGCTAGTGATGAGCCAGGGGTTGGGGGAAGGCTTCAGGACCAGACTGTATTTACATGAACTCACCTTCTCTGCCTAGTTTCAGAGTAACAGCCGTCTTAGTCTGTATCCGCAAAAAGAAAAGGAGGACTTGTGGCACCTTAGAGACTAACCAATTTATTTGAGCATAAGCTTTCGTGAGCTACAGCTCACTTCATTGGATGCATACTGTGGAAACTGCAGAAGACATTATATACACAGAGACCATGAAACAATACCTCCTCCCACCCCACTCTCCTGCTGGTAATAGCTTATCTAAAGTGATCACTCTCCTTACAATGTGTATGATAATCAAGTTGGGCCATTTCCAGCACAAATCCAGGTTTTCTCACCCTCCGCCCCCCCACACACAAACTCACTCTCCTGCTGGTAATAGCCCAACCAAAGTGACCACTCTCTTTACAATGTGTATGATAATCAAGGTGGGCCATTTCCAGCATAAATCCAAGTTTAACCAGAACGTCGGGGGGGGGGAGGAAAAAACAAGGGGAAATAGGCTACCTTGCATAATGACTTAGCCACTCCCAGTCTCTATTTAAGCCTAAATTAATAGTATCCAATTTGCAAATGAATTCCAATTCAGCAGTTTCTCGCTGGAGTCTGGATTTGAAGTTTTTTTGTTGTAAGATAGCAACCTTCATGTCTGTAATTGCGTGACCAGAGAGATTGAAGTGTTCTCCGACTGGTTTATGAATGTTATAATTCTTGACATCTGATTTGTGTCCATTTATTCTTTTGCGTAGAGACTGTCCAGTTTGATCAATGTATATGGCAGAGGGGCATTGCTGGCACATGATAGCATATATCACATTGGTGGATGTGCAAGTGAACAAGCCTCTGATAGTGTGGCTGATGTTATTAGGCCCTGTGATGGTGTCCCCTGAATAGATATGTGGGCACCGTTGGCAACGGGCTTTGTTGCAAGGATAGGTTCCTGGGTTAGTGGTTCTGTTGTGTGGTGTGTGGTTGCTGGTGAGTATTTGCTTCAGGTTGGGGGGCTGTCTGTAGGCAAGGACTGGCCTGTCTCCCAAGATTTATGAGAGTGTTGGGTCATCCTTCAGGATAGGTTGTAGATCCTTAATAATGCGTTGGAGGGGTTTTAGTTGGGGGCTGAAGGTGACAGCTAGTGGCGTTCTGTTATTTTCTTTGTTAGGCCTGTCCTGTAGTAGGTGACTTCTGGGAAGTCTTCTGGCTCTGTCAATCTGTTTCTTCACTTCCGCAGGTGGGTATTGTAGTTGTAAGAATGCTTGATAGAGATCTTGTAGGTGTTTGTCTCTGTCTGAGGGGTAACAGAGAGACAGTTTTATAAAAAGCCAAACCCTCCCCTCCTCAGCCAGCCAATGAGCTGGGGAAAATGTAACGGGCAGCAGTGACCATGGAAACATAAGTAACAGCAAACCCATCAGCAAGGTGCCTGAGTAGTTAAAGCAATGGGCTGCGCTGCTAATGTGGCGCAATCCTTACTGGCCTCTTTTATCCTTCTCCCATCTCTCCCCAACAACCATTTTCTCCTTCAGTTCAGTGACAGCCCCACACGCATTACCTCCATCTCACAAAGTGCAGGTCCACACATAAGCACCTCACCAGTGCAGCTGCACCATCCTAGCGCTTCAGTGGAGACTCTATCTACGTTGATGTGAGGGCTTCTCCCCTCTACCATCTCAAGCTATGTTGACGTTAGAAGCCCTCCTGTTGACAGAGCGCTGTCTACCCAAGGGGTTAGGTTGGTGTAACTGCATTGCTCAAGGGGGTGGATTTCGTACACTCCTGTACAATGTAATTATACCAACCTAATTTTGTAGCATAGACCTGGCCCCAAGTGAAGCTTGTTGGGCCCAGGTGGGGGCTGGGAGGGAGTTAGGTGTGGGAGGGCTTAAATTATACTGCCAGGCACGAATAATAAAGGTGCTGAAAGTGTGGGAGTTGTACCTGGATAGGCTAGTGTTCCAGCCCCCTAGCAGACAACCCCATCACTGTGGGACAGGGACACATCTCAGCTCTCAAACGGCACATTGTGGCTGCAAGAATCTGTGGGCAGCTCTTTCATTTACACTGAGGTTTGAGTCCTGTTTTGTGCACCATGTTTGAGAATGAAAATCATAAACCACCTTTCTAAATAACGAATGCAGCAGGACGTGTTATTGTCCCTGCCACAAAGGAGACAGACCAATGGAGAAATGCCGTGAGGTTTAGGGTAATACTTCACTACGCTTTTACCATTTACACCTGCTAAACTCCCTCCCCACCCTGTGGGGTCCCGGAGCCCAGTATCAATCCTGAGGCGAGATGCCTACACAGCAACTTTATAGCCCCACTGCCAAAGCCAGGCGTGGGTGTTTCACTGCAGTGTGACTATACCCTCACATTAAGTCTACACTGCGATGAGACCACCCAGGGCACCTGTCTCAAAGCCTGGGGCAGCTGGCTCAGACCTGTGGGGCTGGGGCTGCAACATGGTGGTTTGAGCATTGGCCTGCTAAACCCAGGGTTTGTGAGTTCAATCCTTGAGGGGGCCATTTAGGGATCTGGGGCAAAAATTGGGGGTTGGTCCTGCTTCAAGCAGGGGGTTGGACTAGATGACCTCCTGAGGCCCCTTCCCACCCTGATGTTCTACGATTCTGTGACAGTGGAGACGTAGGGGCTAGACCCAGGCTCCGAGCCCCCACGCGGGGTGAGGGTCTCCAGCCTGGGCCCAAATGGCCACCTGCAGCGTGTGGCCCCGCCCACAGAGCCCAGGTCAAAGCAACCGACAGGGTGCGATGAGAAGGCATAACCCCCGGCGGCGGCGGCGCCGCCCCCGAGCCCCCGCTGCCCGGGCCCCGCCCGGAAACGGGCCCTCAGGGCCGCCACCTCCCTGCGGCTCCCGCAGCCTTGGCGCGGGGTCTTTGGCGGGCCCGCCCCGCGCTGACCCGGGCCTCTCCGCCAATCAGGGAGCGGAGAGGTGCCCACGCCCCCTCCGCCAATCGAAAGCCGAGCGTGAGGGCGCGCGAGAGAACTACGCTTCCCAGTGCGCACCGGGATAGGCCACTTCCGCTTCCTGCGGGATGCGTGGCGGTTGCCGGGGCAACCAAACCTCACTTCCGCTCCGAGGACAATCCGGAACTCCTGCTCTCAGCCTGTCCCGCGGCACTTCCGCTCTCTGGAGCCCAGGTAAGGGAGGGCCCCGGGGTCAGCCTGACCCTCCCCCCGAGACACCCCCCCGCCCCCGTGCCCCTCCCCCAGCCGGCGCCTCTCAGACCCGCCCCCTCCCGAAGCAGTGGCCCCGCCCAGAGCCCCCCGGCGCCTTCCCCCTTCTAACGCGAACTTTGGTGTCCCGGGGGCGGGGCCGCTGCGCTCCGTGGGGAGCCTCAGCCCCGGGGTCTGCGGGCCCCGCCCTGCTGCTCCCCGGGGTCCGGGCAGCGCCCCTAGGAACGCCCCCTCCCCCCCGGCTCCCCCCGCGGCCAGGGCCGGGCTCCAGAGGGAGCGACCGGCCCCGCCCGGCTCGTGGCAGTCGGGGGCCAGGGATCGTAAGGTAATGCACAGCTACAGACTAGGGACCGAATGGCTCGGCAGCAGTTCTGCGGAAAAGGACCTAGGGGTGACAGTGGACGAGAAGCTGGATATGAGTCAGCAGTGTGCCCTTGTTGCCAAGAAGGCCAATGGCATTTTGGGATGTATAAGTAGGGGCATAGCGAGCAGATCGAGGGATGTGATCGTTCCCCTCTATTCGACATTGGTGAGGCCTCATCTGGAGTACTGTGTCCAGTTTGGGCCCCACACTACAAGAAGGATGTGGATAAATTGGAGAGAGTCCCGCGAAGGGCAACAAAAATGATTAGGGGACTGGAACACATGAGTTATGAGGAGAGGCTGAGGGAGCTGGGATTGTTTAGCCTGCAGAAGAGAAGAATGAGGGGGGATTTGATAGCTGCTTTCAACTACCTGAAAGGGGGTTCCAAAGAGGATGGCTCTAGACTGTTCTCAATGGTATCAGATGACAGAACGAGGAGTAATGGTCTCCAGTTGCAGTGGGGGAGGTTTAGATTGGATATTAGGAAAAACTTTTTCACTAAGAGGGTGGTGAAACACTGGAATGCGTTACCTAGGGAGGTGGTAGAATCTCCTTCCTTAGAGGTTTTTAAGGTCAGGCTTGACAAAGCCCTGGCTGGGATGATTTAATTGGGGATTGGTCCTGCTTTGAGCAGGGGGGTTGGACTAGATGACCTTCTGGGGTCCCTTCCAACCCTGATCTTCTATGATTCTATGATCGTGCTGGGGGCGGGGTCACCTGGCTGAGGGGCCGGGCCAGGGGCGGGTAGCTGGGGGCTGGGGCTCCCTTTGCAGGTGACTGTCCCCTTCCAGGCGTCGGCTGCGTCTCCTGTCCCCCAGGTGTCAGATACAGACATGCCCACGTGTCGCAGCCCCCTGGGACTGGGCGTGGCTGACTTGCTCATGTGGACCCTATAATTGTCAGTAGAGTCAGGCTGAGCTCCACCCTGGCATCTGGTGGTGAGGTGTGGCAAATTGTGGAAAAGAACTTCAGGGGCTGATCTCATTTGCATAGGCACACCCACCCCGCCTAGAATGAGGCCATAACTGCCCAAATGGTCACTTTGGCTGCTGTGGGATCCCCAGTGTCTCTGTTATTGGGGCGGGAAGAATAAATTGTTATTACCCTGATTATGGGAACTGTGCTTGGAACTGTACTTGGGCTTTTGTTATGATGGAGGGACTCACCATCAACTAAGTAGCACTTGCTAGGCAAGGGACATGGGTTCCAAAACTCTGTGAATTGAGGGGGGGATTGAGACAGGTATTTGTACCTGGTGGTGTGGGCCTCTTTGTGAGGGCCTGAAACACCAGTTGCACCTCTGTCTCTCTCCACTGTGGAATGTCAGAGCTAATTTTGGGTCTATTAAGAGTCTTGCTACAGGTACTGTGCTGAATTCACTTTGGCCTCATGGTGCACCAGCATTAAGGCTCCCACTACTATGAGCTGAAATCACTGAGCACTGTGTCAAGTAGTGGGGAGCCGGCAGAACTAGAGTGCAGTAGTGCTGTTCGTGGATAGGCTGGCGGAGTGTTTGTGAGACGGCAAGGTGAGCTGTGGAGAGTGGAGCCGTTCATGAGACGGCGAGCTGAGCAGAGCTGTTTGTGAGACGGCGGAGTGAAGTGTTCGTGGGACGGCAAGCTGTGCAGAGCGGAGCCGGTCGTGGTGGAGTGGAGCCGTTCGTGAGACAGCGGAGCAGAGCAGAGCCCTGTGGGGCAGTCAGCTTCAGGACACGTAAGGTGCCCCTTACCTCTTTCCCCCCCACACAGGCACATTTTAGCCAGACTGGGGAGTAACACTCTGCAGATGAAGTTTGAACTCTGGGGCTGGACTTTTTGAACTTTGGGTGATTTGTGGATTGCTGGACTCAAGAGACGTTTGGGTTCTGGGACTCAAGAACCCGAGGGAAAGGATGTGGCCCAATTTGCTGGGGTGGGTCTTTGCTCATGGTTTGGTTAATGAACACTAGTTGTGGTGTTTCCCCAATTTAATGCTGATGTTGTTTACCTCATGTTATTAAAGATTCTCTACTACACCAAAACTCTGTGCTTGCGAGAGGGGAAGTATTGCCTCTTTGAGGCGCCCAGGGGGTGTGTAAGATTTTCCCGGGTCACTGGGTGAGGGCTCGAGCCAGTTTTTGCATTTGCTTTGATGAGAGGGAACCCCTGTGTACTGAACCCGGCCCTTGCTGCTATCAACTTGGCCTGGCAGAAGGGTTACATAATTATAAAATAAACCCACTGGAATGTAAATATTGTACTTACGTTTCAGTGTGTGGTATACAGGGCGGCGCACACACGTCGTACTGTGCAAAATTTAGTTTGGACTGACGTCACTAGTGCTTTTTATGTTGCCTGTTGTAAAACTAGGGAAATATCTAGATGAGTTGATGTACCCTCTGAAAGACCTCTGTGTACCCCCAGGGGTACCTGTACCCCTGGTTGAGAACCACTGATGTCGGGGAGGCCAGGCCCACCCGCCGTACCGACTTCTAAGCCAGTACCCTAGGAGGCTGGTTCAGCTTTGCTTACCTTGCGTCAGCCTCAAGTCAGCTTCTATGGGTCACCTTCCTACCATGCGCCCCATGGACAGGAGTCAGAGAAAGGACCTCTCCTTTCAGGTGTAAAGGCAGCAAGCAATTATTGACAGTTTCTCTAGTCTCCTTTTCAGATTTTGCCCCATTTTCTCTCTAATTTTCCAGACCCCGCTCCCTGGCAGGAGTTTGAGGGCCGGATTACCAGATTAACACGTGGGCAAATGAGATCAGGATGCCTCCCTGTGGAGTGGGTATTTCAGTTATCACTAAAGGTGGGGAAACTGCTCAGTCTCTCTCTGTCTGTCTCTCTCTCTCTGCTCAGGATATTGGAGTTGAGCTTCCTGGGTCAGACACTACTGCCTCCATTCCAATCTGGGAATCAAGACTGAGCAGCTGCTGTTCCCCTGGCGGAATCAAGGCTAGGGTGTGACCTTAAGTAAAGTCTTCTCTGTGCCCAGACAAGGTGCGGACTTTCTCCAGCTGTAATTAGCCCATAAGGCAGCCCTAGACTTTGCCAACACCAACAGCTGAGCCAGAAACTCCAGGTAATTAATAGAGACTTCAGGGAAAATGTTTGTGCACAAACAGCCCTCCCCTTCATCCCACGTATTTCCTCCCCTTAGCAATTGTAGGAGCTGATCCAGTCATAGGAGACCAAACACCTAGAAATGGCTGCCCCTCAGCCAGAGGGGGAGGGACAGGGGAAGGAAGACATAAGGGGAAAAAAGAGAGAGACTGAAAGGGGTAGGGGGGGGAAGTAACTGGGGAGAGATTCCCAGATCTCTGACCTGCCCACTCACACTTATTGCAGCATCCCTGGGCAGATTCACTTTCCTGTGACAAGGTGAGGTGCAGGGAGAGGAAAAAAAACAATTTCCTATACAACTAGCTGTGGGAGTGTGCTCCCCTGGGGACAATGTTGGGAGGGGAATCCCCCAAAGTCACTCCTTTTGTTCTGCTCTTGTCTCGCAATTGCTTCTCAGACTTTGTTACTGGGACAATTTTAAAATGTCCTGGTGGTTTAGTGCTGATGGAAGGGGATGAATCAGTGCTGTAATAAAGTGACCAAACTTTTCCTCAGAATAGAATTATGGAAATGTAGGGCTGGAATGAACCTTGAGAGGTTATCTAGTCCAGCCCCCTACACTGAGGCATTTGTCCAACCTGTCCTTATAAACCTCCAGTGATGGCGATTCCACAACCTTCCTTGGTAACTACTCCAGTGCTTAACTAGCCTTTTTCACAAATTTGTCACATGGCTGACTCAGATTCAGTTTGTGATCCACTATAACCTCCAGACCCTTTTCAGTAGTACTAGCCAGTTAGTTCCCATTTTGTAGTTGTGCATTGGATTTTCCTTGCTTAAAATGTAGTACTTTGCAGTTTTCTTCATTGAATTTCATCTTGTTCTTTCAGATAAATTCTCTAATTTATAAAGGTCATTTTAAATTCTAGTTCTTCTACGTGCTTTCAACTCTTCCCAGCTTGGTGTTATCTACAAATTTTATAAGCATACCCTCCACTCCATTATCCTTGCCATTCATAAAAATATTAAATAGTACCAGTTCCAGGACTGGCTCCTGTGGGACCCCATTAGGTAAATGCTCCCAGTTTGACAGCAAGCCATTAATACGTATTCTCTAAGTGCAGCCTTTCAAGAAATTGTGCACTCATAGTACTTTCATGTACACTACATTTCCCTAGTTTGCCTATGAGAATGCCATGGTGGCCTGGGTCAAAAGCCTTACTAAAATAAAGATATATGATGTCTACAGTGTCCCCCGCATCCATAAAAGCATTACCCCTGTAAAAGCAGGAAATCAGATTGGTTTGGCATGATTTGTATTTGATAATCCATGCTGCCTATTACTTTTCACTTTACTGTTCTCTAGGTACTTATAAATTGATTGTTTTAATAAAATTTTCTTTCCAGTTATCTAAGGCTTGACTGGTTTTTATTCCCCCAGGTCTTCATTGTTCCCCTTTTTAAAGACCGGTTTTATGTTTGCCCTTCTCCTGTCCTGTGGGACCTCACCATCCTCCAGGAGTTGTCAAAGATATTGGTAACTGTTCCAAGATTGCTTCAGCTAATTCCTCAAGTACCCTGGGATGAGCTTCATTAGGCCCTGCTGACTTTAATACATCTAACTTATCTAAATATATTTTAGCCTGTTAGTTCCCCATTGTGGTTTCTGTTCCTCCCACTCTTGATTAAGAATAATTGTTTTAGTATCTGGTCATAATTAAACTTTTTTAGTGAATATAAAAAGGCATTAAACACCTTAAGTCTTCTTGATGTCATCTGTTACGAACTCTCCGTCCCTGGTAAGTAGAGTACCTACATATTCCTTCACCCGTTTCTTGCTCCCAGTATATTTATAGAGCCCTTATCTTGGTGCCATTTCTATAACTTGCTAGGCCTAACTCATTTTGTGAGTTAATCTTTCTGATTTTTCCCCCCACATGCTTGTGCTATTCTTTTGTACTCATCCATAGCAATTTGTCCATGATAGCACTTTTTGTAGGATTCCTTTTTATTTTCTGATCATTAAAGAGCTCCTGATAGAAAGAATAGTAAGTGGGCAAAATAGCCCTATCTTTCCTTCACATTATGATAGTTTGCTGTTGCTCCTTTAATATTGTCTCTGAGAAATCGCCATCTCTCCTGAACTCTTATTTTCAGCTCAGATTTCATTCCATGGGACCTCATCTACCAGATCTCCGGGTTTGTTGAAGTCTGCCTTTTTGAAGTCCATTGTCCTTATTCTGTTACTCTCATGCCTTCCTTCTCACAGAATCTTGAAATCATCATTTCATGATCACATTTACCCATATTGCTTTCCACCTTCAGTTTCCTAACTAATTCCTTCTTGTTAGCCAGAATCAAGTCTAAAAGGCTGTCCTACAGTTACTACTACTTCAATCCTCTGAAACAAACAGGTGTCCCTAGTACATTCCAAGAACTTACAGGTTTTTTTCAATTCCTTTTCTAACAGAGGTCTGGGTAAGTAAAATGTATTTTGAATTTCTCTGTTATTTGCGCAACAGTCTAGAACACTAGTGTGCCCGGAAAGAGCCTGGGGGGTAATTTTGATGTGAAATTATTTCCTGTTCTAACATGTCCGCAATTGCCCTTTTTTGCTCTAACAGGCTGCAGTGTAACATCCCTGTTTTGCTCCAGATCATTCCATCCTTCCAGGGAAGGGAAATGGCTGCAGTGGAGCCAGTTGAGGTAGGATTTATCAGGGAGTTGCTAGTGGGTTCCTGTTAGAGAGCGAGAAGGGCAGTAAATACATAGGAGGTGGGCACTTGGGGGGGTGGGGGAGGGGAGTTGGTCTGAAGGTGGGAGGGGTCAGGAATTACACAGGCTGGAAAAAGGGAGAGGGGCAAGGTGTGAAAAACGTTCTGGGATTTGGTAGGAACAGACCCCTGGGCTTTGTGGGTAGGAATTTCCTAATTTGTGGAACAGGAAACAACCCCCCTGGAGTGGGCTGGGAAAACTTAGCAGAGTCCAATACTAGAGCCTGAACCTACTAGCCAGAGGCTGCTGTGAGATATAAAGGGGCACCCATCAGCAGTGTTCCTCTAATTTTTTATGTGCCCCAATATGGAGGTGATGGTGTGACTATGTGGGCTCTGGGGTGGGGCTGGGGATGAGGGGTTTGGGGGTACAGGCTGCCCCGGGGTTGCAGTGGGGAGAGAGGACTCCCCCCAGTCCTCTCTCACCTCAGCAGCTTGGGGCAGGGGGAGAGGTGCCTCAGGGAGAGGCTTCTCTCCCACAGCAGCAGCAAGTCCGGGGCAGGTCTGTGCTTGGGGCCGGGGGAGGGGTGCCTTTTCCCCAACCGTGGCAAGTCTGGAGCAGTCCGCACCGGGGCCGACGGGGAGGGTGCCTTTCCCTGCCACAGCCCTGAGTCCCTGCACGGGGCTTAATAGGCAGCTGTGCGGCCGTTCACCTTAGAGGGAACTTAGCACTTCAGGGAGGCCTAGGGAAGACACCCCCATCTAGCTGCTATCAATGGGGAGGGTGTTGCAATTCCCACCATGGTGTTATCCCTGGACTCTGCTGGGAGCCTTATCTCCTGTATGAGCCTCTGGCTAGTACGTGAGTGATGAATGTGAAGACCCCTGCCCCCTCTCTCTGCTCAGAGGGGTGAAGGACTCTCTTTTTCTCCGCTCACCCTAATGCTTCCTGCCTGTTCCGATGGGGCAGGTATGGGATAATGCTGTCTGCCTGCCTCCCAGAGCTTCCATGTGATTGGCGCTCCTCTCCTGTGAATTGTGGGGTTGTCAGAGGCAGCAGGTACTGAGTGGGGGCTCTTTCTCTTTCAGGGGCCGGTGACCTTCGAGGAGGTGGTTGTGTATTTCACCAAGGAAGAGTGGGCTTTGCTGGACCCCGCTCAGAGAGCTCTGTACAGAGATGTCATGCAGGAGAACTATGAGAATGTGACCTCGCTGGGTAAGGATTCCTGTCCCCTTGGTTATTCGAAGGGGAAGTGAAGAGTTTAGTTTCACAACACCCCACAATGCAACCTCATCTCTGCCCTGTTTCAGCAACACCTCAACAGGCAAATGACACTCTACCCTCCCCACTACGGAGCAGTTTGGGAACAGAGCACAGGACCAGTACAGCACAAAGTCTAACACCTTCTCTTTGCTAAGGCAAAACTTGGGGTTAGGTTTCATGTAGGGAACAGAAGGTACCTACACCTGGCCTGCACTTAGATATTGAGCCTACTACACACAATCCATCTCAGACTTTCATAATGTTACCACCTCTTTACCCTTGCACTGAGGATTCCTTCTGAGTAATTGCCTTCACTTACCCACCCTGAGCATTGGAGACCACTAGCATGTATGCCACCAGACTGCTGACAAACCTTGTGACAAGAACATGCTCTTAAATACATCTGTGGTGGGCTTCTACCCCTCACAGGCATATTAAATTTAATTACATTATGCTCTATATTACAAAGTGGTTAAGCTGTATTCACCTCTTGAACCAGATCCTGTGTGCCATTTAGGGGTAAATCTAGACTTGCCTCTCCCCTTGTGGATTCCAGAACTAGCTGCTCCAATAAGATGTCATTAACGGTGAATAAAAACTTTATCTTTGCATCCCATCCTGAGGTGACATGTACCCAGTAAACATTTGGGGATTTCCACTGACCATATATTACTGACTTTTCCATTTTTATAATCTCTCTAATCTCCCTGAGCATTCCATAATCACCAAGATCATCCTGGTAAGGTGTTCAGTAGTATATTCCTATTGCTATACCGTTATTATTCAAGCGTGGAATTTTTATCAATAGAGATTCTGTGGAACAGTTTGATTCATTTAATTTTTTTTTACTATATTTCACTGCATGCTGTCTTTCACATCATGCATTTGAGTCAGAGCCCTAACACTGTGTGTTGTAAATTTTTCATATGATCATAAGAATGGCTCTACTGGGTCAGACCAAAGGTCCATCTAGCCCAGTATCCTGTCTTCCAACAGTGGCTAGTATCAGGTGCCCCAGAGGGAATGAACAGAACAAGTAATCATCAAGTGATCCATCCCCTGCCACTCATTGCTAGCTTCTGGCAAACAGAGGTTAGGGACAGCATTCCTGCCCATCCTAAGTACATCAGAATCAGGAACCCTGCCAGACAATCAGTGGGGCTACTGGGTGCTTGGGATGCTAAATGAGCACTCAGTTGCTCTGCAATGCCCTTGATTCCCTGACTGAATCCTTTGCATCAGTCTTCACTGCGGAGGATGTGAGGGACTTTTCTACACCTGAGCCATTCTTTGTAGCTGGCAAATCTGAGGAAAAGTTCCAGATTAAGGTGTTGATAGAGGACATTTTGGAACAAACTGATAATTTAAACATTAATAAGTCGCAAGGGCAAGATGGTATTAACCCCATCTTTAGACCACTAATCCTGCCCTGCACCCACATGGTGAGCAGTATATTTCAGGACAATGTGAGTAAGCATGTAAACTGCAGAGAAACTAGAATAGCTGGCTTTTAAACAGAAAGTAATGCTGAACCCTAAATACAGTGGAGCTGGTGGTCTGCTAGGATAACTTTCCAAATGCATGGAGGACATGGCAATCAGGTGCACCCATCTGTGGACATGAGACAGTTTGAGGGTCTCATTCAGGCTTTAAGACAAGGGAGAGCAGGAGGAAGGGAGAAGATGATGGGGAACTGGTGTTTGTGGGGTGCCACAAGGCAGGGAGGCCTGAGATCAGAGGGGAGGAGTGTGTGGAGGACTAGGATTAGAGGGAATCAGGGATGATTGGGTACAGTAGAAGGAGGAGGCTGGAGGGAGTCAGCGAGAGTTGCTCCTGGGAACTGGTAATGGTGTGAGCTGGGAGAGTGGGGACTAGGAATGGGGAAAAGGGGGTGGAGGGCCCAGCAATGGTGGTGCTGTTGAAGGAAAGTTGAGTAGGTGATGAGTAGCTGGGAGTGGGGAACACTTGGAGCCGAGGGACATGGGGAGTAAAGGGCTTGGAGAGTGGTTGCTCTAGAAAGCAGGAAGGGCCTGGTGGGGTGGGAAGGGACCGTTTCAGAGAGTGAGAGATTTTGAGCAGGGCACTGGGACTGTTTTTGCAAAAGTTTCTACTGGCCTCTCCCTAGGCAAAGCTCAGAACCACTACTTCATTCTGATCCTCGACCTGTCAGCTGCCTTTCATCCATCGACCATGCTCCTCTTCTTGAAATCTGATCTTCCCTTATCCTCTCCCACTTCTCCTACTTCTTTGAGCTCTGTTTCAGTGTGTCCTTGGACAATCCTCATCCCCACTCCAGCTTTCTGCGGGGCTTACACAAGCTCTGTCCTTGGTTCACTTCTCTTCTTCCTCTGTACCTTACATTGGTTAATTTAATTCACAAACACAAATTCAGCTTTGAGTGGTAGCCGTGTTAGTCTGTGTCAGCAAAAGCAACAAGGAGTCCTTGTGGCACCTTAGAGACTAACAAATTTATTTGGGCATGAGCTTTCATGGGCTAGAGCCCACTTCATCAGATGCATGGAGTGGAAAATATAGGAGCAGGTATAAATACATGAAAAGATGGGAGTTGCCTTACCAAGTGTGAGGTCAGTCTAACAAGACAATTCAATTAACAGTAGGATACCAAGGGAGGAAAAATAACTTTTGTAGTGGTAATTAGAGTGGCCCATTTCAAACAGTTGACAAGAAGGTGTGAGGAACAGTAGGGGGAAATTAGTATGGGGGAAATTAGATTTAGGTTTTGTAATGACCCAACCACTCCCAGGCTTTATTCAGGCCTAATGTGATGGTGTCCAGTTTGCATATTAATTCCAGTTCTGCAGTTTCACATTGGAGTTTGTTTTTGAAGTTTTTTTTGTTGAAGAATTGCCACTTTTAAGTCTGTTATTCAGCTACCGTCTCTATGCTGATAACTCACAGATCTAATTCTCTGCTCCAGACCTGTCTCTTGCTCTCCAAACTGAAATCTCAGCCTGTCTCTCTGATATTTCTTCATAGATGTCTAGTCATCAGCTCAAGCTCAAAAGCTTAAATGGCTAAAACACACGTCTTAATATTTCCCCTGAGCCATCCCCCAGCCTCCTTTCTGTATCACTGCAGAGACCACCACCATCCTTTTCTGCATTCTGTCTCTCATGTCTGTACGCTGCGCATATGCCGCAACACAGGCCTCTCTCTAGGTCCTCACATGCACCTTATTTCTACATCTTGCATTTTCTTACTGCATAATGTCCCTAAGGTACAGTCTTCCTACCCATCCACACAGCTAAAACTTTTGTCCAAGCTCTCATATTCTCCTGTCTCAATTTATTGCAACATTCTTCTCTCCTCCTTAATGTACGCAATCATGTGCTGCTCATATCCATTCAGAAGTAAACATCCACAAAGCTGGCTCACTATCCTCAAATGTGACCTCTGAGGAAAGTTTGAAAGAATTGGTGGTGTTTAGTCTTGAGAAAAGAAGATTGGGAGGGACCTGATAAGCGTCTTCAGATATGTTAAAGGCTGCTTTGCAGAGGATGGTGATCAATTGTTCTCCATGTGCACTGGGGTAGGAGAAGTAGTAATTGGCTTGATCTACAGCAAGGGATGTTTAGGTTGGCTATTAGAAGAAACTTTCCAACTTGTGAGGATAAATAAATCCTGGAATAGGTTACCAAGAGAGGTTGTGGAATCCCAGTCACTGGAGGTTTTTGCAAACAGGTTGCTGACATATATTTGTCTAATGTTCTATATATACTTGGTCCTGCATTAGGGCTGCAGGATAGATTAGCTGACATTTTGAGGTCCTTTTACCCCTGTGTTTCTGTGATTTTTATGATTCATTGTCCTAGTCTTTTTCTTTGACCTTGTCTCTCTCTGGAGAATGGGGGATTTATTTAGTAGTTTCTTTTAATGAAAAATATACATGGATCTGCTTCCCTCTCAATTTATTTTACTAGCCACTGGGTGTGAAGAAATTAATTCCTCTTCTGGGATGTGGATGTAATTGCTATTAAAGTAACACTTTCAAGAACTGTTGATATATGAATGAGGCACACTGAACAGTGGAAGTCTCAAAGATTGGACATGAAGGTGTAATGACTGGGTCTAAGGAAAACAGAACACAAGAACACAACTGCAGTATATTTTGGGATGTAGGAACTAGGGTTCAAACCAACTGGGCTTTAACTTTGCTGCTATCCAGGACAAAAAGACTGAGACACGGGGAGAGAGAGAGATGAAATGGAGGAGGCTTTGGAAAAGCTGGGCAGATGACTTTGCCAAAATGAATGTAGAGTTCAGTATTGCTTTACCGGACTAACCAAGGGATCTGTATTGCAGTTGCTTAAGCCGTGTGGTCTTGTTATGAAAAGGCTGTCTTGTGTTGCTGCAAATACCTACTGGCTGCAGCACCCAAAAGAAGTGATGTTTATGAGGGGTCTGAAATCATTTGAACTCACTGAAGTGCCATCATGACACAAAGGGTGCTGCCTCCAGACGTGCCTATCTCCGAGGAGTGGAGGCCTGGGGGTCACCCTTGCAGAAAGCAAAGGCTAGGAAGTAACATGTTATGTATATGTCTACATTGTCTCTGGGAGAGATCCTCCTAGCCTAGGTCCACAGACTCACTCTGGAGGGCTATATATAACTGTCTAGGTGTTGGAGGTTGGGCTAGAGCAGAGGTCTCAAACTCAAATGACCACGAGGGCCACATGAGGATGAGTGCATTGGTCCGAGGGCCACATCACTGACACCCCCACCCTTACTGCCTCCGGCCCCACCCCCACTCCACCCCTTCCATGAGGCACCGCCCTGTCCCCACCTCTTCCCACCCCTTCCCTGCCCCCATTCCAACCTCTGCCCTGAAGTCCCAACCCCAACTCTGCCCCCTCCCTGCCCCCCAGGGGGTGCAGGAGAGGTGTGGCAGGGGGCTCAGGACAGGGGGCTGGGGTGCAGCAGGGGGTCAGTGT